AAGTACAAGCAATTAACCATGCCTTCTTTCTATGGAGTTCCATTACTATATTGGTGTCGTAAAATAGCACTCCTTATATAAAATGATAAAAGCAAAGTTTGCTTTTTGGATTTCTTTTTTTAAAAAGAGTCATACTTGGTTGAAATCATGGATGCAGAATTCATGGATACAGAACACCCAGTGTACTTACACAGTTTGTATCAGAAGGAAAAATGGTGAATCAACACTTAGGTAAATCCAGCTGTTTCAATAGTCTTAGTCTTGTTGGTGTTAATAATATTTAAGTCACTTCCTCTCTGTACAACATTCAAAAAAATAGTTAGGCTGGCAGATTTGGGAATTCAGTGTCACCATTATATATTTTCTCTATTTAATTCGCCATTTAATTCTAGTCAAGGTGCTTGGGTTCTAAATTAGTTTCTGGTGTGAGTAAAAGACTGAGTGAAAATAAACAAAATGGAACTTAATCTTAATACAAGCATTCCTGATCTTTGAAGACAGATCAAGAACTAGGGTTTCAGTTTGCTATAATATCTCTGAAATCTCACATTCACAGTTTGGGTGCATTTCTGAACTCAGCAGTGAGCTGGATACCAGGTTGCTATAAGTGTATTTCCATAGGTAAAACTAATATACGAGCTGCATATATTCCTAGGTATGTCAGATCTAGCTATGGTGACACATGTGTTGATTATCTCCTAGTTGGATTACTATAATAAGTAAATTGGGAGATTGAAGCAGCTCCAAAATGCTGCATCTCGACTACTATGTGAAGTTGTTTACAAAAAACACATAACTTTTCTGTTTCACTGGCCACCAGTCAATTCCTGGCAGAATTTAAAGTACCTGTCATGACATATAAAGCTCTGCCATTAAGAAAATTCATACCCAAATTTTAAGATGTTCTTACATGAGTCAAGGTTGAAGGGAAAACACTCAGTCTCTCTACAAGTACATATACAACCCCATTAGACAGTATGATAATATCATCCTAAGACACTTTCACCCCATCTGGGGGATGGAGGCCAATGCTGGACATCACACAACATTGTGTGACTTCTGCCATAGACCCCAGACACAACCAAGATGAAAGCGTCCTCAATTGCTTTCATCCCAACACAGTAGGCTTCCTGTGTTGTACTGGCTTCAATACAGCTAGCATGGGTCCTCCCCATGAGGGTGATGTTTTCCCCATTTGATGGGGAAAGCATTGCAAAAGGGAGCTGCACATAGAGCAAAATATTCGCCCTACTGCTCCCTCTTTTGTCACTGGAAGCAAGGCAAAGTGGGATGCTTTCCCTGGTCTTTCTGATAAGGTCATTAGTGGGATATAGGACAGAGCTTTCTCAATTGCTGCTCTCAGGTTGTAGAATTTGCTTCTATGGCAGATTTAGTTGACCCCTTCCTCAGTACTCTTTTTACTATCAGGCAAATATCTTTTTACTTTGGCTTTTACATGATTGTGGCATATGGATCTTTGAATGAAGTGTGTTGTCGCTTTGTTACTTTTCCTGCAACAAGCTTTAAATTAGATTTCACTAGGATCGCTTTTTTAAAAAATTGAAAGCAATTTAATTATAGGTTTCTTTCCTTTAATCTGTTTTGTACTCCTATGCCAGGACAAAGCTGGGATATAAACAAATTAAGCCCAAATTGCAGTAGCACAAATGATCAAGATAATTTTAGCCAATGTTGACGTAGTTCCTAACACCTGGAACTGAGGCTTTTAAATGGCAGCCACCAGAACCATATCCAAGGTTCAGCTGTGGTCTCTCAGAGGCCTCTTGCTTATCAATATCACTAAAGGTCAGGAAATGGTCAATTATACTCTTTTGATCTAAGAGAGAGCCACACTCTCTTAGATCTGTTGAATTTTTCAAAGGGGGGGGGGACACATTGTGACACATTTAAAACCAACAGACCTTTTTAAGGATAATCTTTTGAATTGCAATCCACTTGCTCAGATACGTTATGAAGGACAATACTGAAGCTTTTTGTATACTTATGATATATGATCAGTGTGAAATATGATTTTAAAAATGACAGTTGTAACACTGGTCATAAATTTAAAAGGGCTGGTTTAGCCAAACTGTCCTGGCATCCACAAGCCAATGTATAGGTCTGTTGAGCTATTTATTGTTTCTGAAATACTAAAACAATGCATTCTGCTTTTAGGAAAGATAGTTCTGCTATAGACAGAATAATTTTTTGAAGAATAAGCAGAAACAATGGGTTTTAACCTCAATTTTTCAGATTTTAACACCACTGATGGAGTGAGGTGCTTGTGAAACTTTCTGCTTAATGACCCAAAGTGACTTAGAAGGGTTTGGACACTATGCACCTTGAGCTGAGCCAATGTGAACACAACTTATGTGTGTTCCACCTCAGTAAAAATGTCTTTTACCAGGAATTCATAAATTCTCTGTATCTCAGTGACCTCTGTCATAGAGAACAAAGAAAGGCTAATTTCAAAATCACAAAGGGATGGTTTTTAGTATGTGCATATTCAGTATACCTTTAAGACTAAAGCTTACTAAAAAATGGGGCTGGGAGTTCTCATTTTGAATGCAGTGTTTTCCATGTCTCTGAAAAGCTGAGGGTTTAACACTGCTGTCCCCTTTCCACCCCTTTTTTTACCCAACTAAAAGACTGTAGCCATTTCTTGGTATTAGTAGAGGAATTCTGTTGGCTCATTATATTATTTATGCAGAGCCAGGCTATATGGTAATTATGCCTACACTATAATCACTGTGTCATTTACACATGTTAGGTATAAGGGGAGAAAAGTTTCTTTCCAGACTTAAATACTCTGAAAAGTCTGCAGTAAGTGGAAATGACTATGCTCCCTCCTATTAGTCTCAGGGTTATTTATACCTCTGCGGATTAGCACGGTACAGTGCAATTAGGCTTTAGAGGTGCCATGCAAATCGGAAAGTTTCAAGAGCTCTTAGGAACAATTAACCCCTACCACATTAGCATCTTTTGCTTGCAAAGCTGTTTTTCTCTTGGTTATATTCCAGAAAGAATTCCCAAAAAGTTAGATTCCACCAAACAGTTAAGACAGAAATATGGGGAAAGGGGGATCAGTAGGTGAAGTGTAGTTTTAATGTTCCATATGAAGCTCAAACATAGGTCAAGAGGCAACTTAACCCATTCACCAAGGATGTTTTAACAGGGGACAACATTCCTCTGCCGTTAGGGCTAATTAACATTTCAAATCCTATCTGCTTAATTTTTCTGGGTTTTAAAATGGAAATGTGGATATATATATGCAGTGCTGCTTTAGAATTGAAGTTGGAAAACTACAGCCTATGTTCAAATTGAAGAAGGTTTTCAGTCTTTCTCCTGGACTCACAAAGTTACGTTCTTGGCCTTAATGGGGACAAAATCTTTTTTTAATCTCACATTATGTATTAAATCAGTTCTTCAGTATCACCATCACCCATATTGTATCTTATTCGTCACTTGTTTTCTGTAGAGATGATTATCTCTAATTGCCAACATCTACACAAAGTAAATTGGTATGCACAAAGTGAAACAGGGATTATGTTATATCACTCTTCTCATGAATGCTGAAATTCCCATCATTCTGGGTACCCAGTTTACCTCAAAAGTTGTGATCTTTAAAGCTTTATACAGTGTATGCCCAGACTATTGGAAATATTACAGCTACTTTTTTTAGCCTGCCCATGTTTCAAGGTATTTAGAAGAGAGCTTTCACTTGGTTCCACCATCATTACAGGCACTGTTGGTGAAGAGAGATTTCAAAGTTGCTGCTTTCAGGTTGTGAAATTTCCTCCTATAGGTGGTTCTGTTAGCCAAAACATCTTTTTATTTAAACAACTTTTGGCTCTACGAGTACATCAATATGGGCAAAGTGATGCTGTTTGACAGCACTTTAACTACCATGGTTCAATACTATGGAATCATGGGAATTGCAGATTTACAAGGTCTTAGCCTTCTCTGCTAAATTATGCCGATGCCTCACCTAACTACAACTCTCAGTGTTCCATAGAATTGAGACATAACAGTTAAAGTAGTGTCAAACTGCATTAATTCTACAATATAGGTGCATCTTAATTCTTATGATAGAATGGTCTTTCAATGAGACACCACGTGCTTCTATCGAATTTATTTTAAATGATTTAAAATTTGTGTTTTTAATAAACATGTTTGTTTACTTATAACTGTGGTGTCTGTATAGTTTTGAGCTGTAATAATAATTCATTGTAAGTTGCTTTGGCTTCTGTGCTGGGAAAAAGGTATGATATTAATGAATTAAATGAATGAATAAATAAAATAAAATCAGTGGCATCACTAGGGTTGGTGTCATGCAGTGTAGAAACTCATGGTGTCACCCCCGTAGCCTACACAGTCCTCTTGGGACCCATCTACACTGCCATTATAATGCAGATTGAATGGCATTATGTGGTCAGTGTAGACTTATATAATGCAGTTTACCTGCATTGAACTGCATTATATCACCATACAATGCAGTTCAATCTGCATTATAATGGCCTTGGCCATTACCTTCCTGAAAATCCAGCCGTCATCTCTTAGTTTAGCCTCCTCCACCTGACCAACTGAGTTTGTGTCACATCTCCTGCTATTGAGGCTGATGCCATTGGTCCTGTGCCTATCTGGCCTCCCATCCTTTCCCACCATATTCCCAGTGGTCAGTGGAGGCACATCAAGCCTTCCTCGGCTGCATGCCAATGTGCATCTACAGTACTGAAGATTCCTGGCTGCTGGTGCAGGCAGCAGAGCTTGCTCCATTTTTGAGAGAGGAAGCTGCAGAGTGCATGGGAGGAAAGAACCTACCAACTTATCTTTTGCCTCATGCAATAAGTTGTTTCAGACTGAACTTTGGCAAAGGAGGTGATGCCTCTTTGGAGCTTTTCTTCCTTTTTCTGTCATCCCCATAAACCCACATCAGCATTTCATACAACACACAGCTAACCTCTACCCAAGAAATACCATGTGGTCTATAATCCGCTTACCTCCAGAGTGAGCTTTCAGTAACACTTCCCAAGTTGAAATCATGAAGCTTTGTAAGAATGAGAATCACCTGAAAAAAGAAGAGAGGGAGAGAGGGGAAAAATAAATAGTTTTCCTTTTACTTTCTGAAATTATACATACATATAATATATAAACACATATTTCAAATCACCCGAAGGAGAATTCAGCACTTATCTATTCACATTAAGGTATTATAGGATCAAGCAAGAAGCTGGGGAAAGGCTAAGAAGAGGGAATCAATTGCTTAATGTATTCTCATAGCTAGCATTTTTTCATTTCAGGTTCAAAATATCTTGCTGAATAAAATAAAATACTCACCAGGATTAAGCTTGCACACTTTTCAACTCAATCTGGGCTTACTTCATTAACAGTGTAAACCTATTCTTGTTTACTTGGGAGTAAGCCCTGCTGGGTTTCATTGAACTCACAAGACAATGTGCATGTGATTAGAGCTTAAACAATAGAATAGAGACCACTCTGCTGATCAGTGCCTTTGACAAAGCAGATCATTCAAACTGTGTAAAGCCTTCCCACAATGAATCTGGTACGACTCCAGACTCTGCTATAACATACATATACATGTGCAATACCTCTGTGTCCTTCCAGAATCACACATATAATGCACAGGATTACGCCAGGGCTAAGAATGAATGAATAAATGAATGAATTCAATGAATTTACATTTCCATACTGAAGAATGAATGCCAATATGAAGTTTTATCTAATTCAGTACTCTGACTGGTTATACTGGCTCTCATCGAGCAAATCAATACTAATCAAAAGACCAATATTTTAGAACAGAGGTGAGAATATACAGCCCATAGGCTGTACATCCCACATGCCCTTGGGATGCCCTTAATGTCCACACAGACATCTTGACACTGGAAACACAATCATTCAGGGCATATTGGGCAATTTCAAGATTTTTGGATGTCCCAAACATCCTTAAATGACTTTAAAACCGTGGTCAAAAGTAACCAAAGTTCACTTCTGGTCTGTCAAAGTCATAGTCAGAGGAGTACTGTGGATCTCCAGGGGAATGCAAATAATGGCATGTAGTTCCCTAGGCTTCATTGCATCATCAGAGACAGAAAAAGATTCCTTCGGTGTCTTTCACTTTCTCAGCTTTGGAAAGCCAGCAATTTAGGGAAAGGGAGTTGGTCTTAACTGTGATGCATTTATTTCCAGCAGATAAGGAACTAACATCCTGTAAATTGGGACTTGCATGTGTGGTTGCACCTCCCATTCATGTCTAGTAACCAGGGAAAGGAAAGACTTACTGGTGTTTCTACATGAGGTCTGTAAGTATAAATCCCTGGGAGGTCTGTAAGTATAAATCAAAAAGAGGGGGAGAGGGACTCCAAATGAAGAGAGTAAAAGGGACAAATCTTTAATACCCCATTAAGAGGAAATATAACTATTAACAACATTTCTTCATTTGATGGTGAGTCTATAAATATAGTGAACAGTAAATGATAAACTACACCATTTATCAAACCTAGAGATTCCCCCATAGGGGGGCAGAACATACCTTTCAGTACTACAACACCATCACCTATGGGGTAGGAGGATGTTAGTCTTTTAACTGACTGAAATAAATTGATCACAGGTAAGACCAACATTCTTCTGGCTGAGAAGGGAGTAAATCCTACTAGTTGTGACTTGCCAAAGCTTTGCTAATTTAGGATGACTGTATTGGTGGACCACTGTTCTAAATTTCAACCACCAGTTGTAAGATCCTCCTGCCAAAGGTGGCTTCCACTGAAGTTATCAAGATTATAATACCTGAAAGGGTGGAGAGAGACTAACTGGCTGCTCTATAAACCTACCAAGGGGTGTGGGTGGCAAATACTGCTGACATGGTTACAGATCTGGTGAAATGTGAAAACACGCCCTTTGGTGGGTAATGTTCAGTCTGATAACAGCCCATAATTCAGGACAATCTACTTGTTCAAAGTGGTGGATATACTTTTCCTATAGTAACTGCTGAAATGATATTAAAAGTGTATCTGAGGCCTGGAAGCTTTTCATCCTCTTCAGGTAGATGCAGACTGCCAAGTGCACATCCAGCGTGTGGCAGGTCTTTCCCAGCTCTTTGAATGGATGTGGACAGGAGGAGCAGAAAACCATTTCCTAAACTCTATGGAATGCTGAATTCATCTTTGGGTCAAATCAGAGAACCATGGAGTTGACTCTGATGATGCAGACCTCCTGACAGTATTTATCATATTGGGCCTAAGGTTATGGTCAATGTCATTGTATATGGACTCTAGCAGGAGAATCAGATAAAATCCATGTCCTGCAGACTTGCTCTGAAGGTGTACTTGGATATTCTGTTGGTAAATGCCCACCTGGGAGGTTAGGATGGTGCCACAACCTTGCCAGGTAGCCACAAATGCTCAGAATATTCAGTTCAACAACCCAGCATGGAAGTGTAGCCATACTTGGTCTGCCCCTGTGAAAGGAGATCTTGGCAAACTGGAAGAGGCAGGCAACCCAATATCATGTGGATACTTTCAGAGAAACTAGCCTTTCTGGCCCAGGCTTGTGCCACCAGAATGGCTGTGGTTGTCTCTCTCCAAATCTTCCCCATTAGCCTGAGTAGCTGTCCTGGGCCAGGATGCCGACTCAGAATCTGAAGAGCCCTAAAGCTATCCCTGCTGAATAATAGCCTCAGGAGGCATAAAGCTAGGATCCACTGCCATCTGACCTGTTAGAGGAATGAGCTGAGGAAATGGCACAGTCTCCATGTCCATGTACCAGGTAAGTGGAAAAGAGGACAGAACAGAGACAGTTAATGAGGCTTCTTGCCAGGTAGCATAACAAACATTCCTGATTAGAAACAGCTGGTTACAGCCCATGTGAGAGCCAACTCTGGGTAGTGCCAGTTGCTGGAATCATATTCCATCAGATTGGTGACCATGGTGGGATTTATTCAATAGATATAACCCTGATCCTTCAGAGTGGTGTTCATGACTTCTGTGATTCTGACCCCTGTACTTGACTGCCTAGACCCCAGATTGCTCATGACAGTACTTTTTTTTAAACCTTGACCAGTGTGACTATACTACTGCCAGACATGAATGATTCATTGATATATTGCCCTTGTCTGAGCTATCTCTAAACTCTAAATTATTGGCTTTCTCCCTCCCTTAGTCTATGAGTATGTGGTAGCTGAGTCAGGATAGTAGTGCTGGTATAGGGGGCAGCATACAGCAGTACCAGCAGCCAGGGAAGGGTGAGAGTGTGACCCATCCCTTCCAACTGGTGTCTCTATATGAACTTTGACAGCTTGGTAATTGTTGGGGAGATATGCAAGTCTAATTCTGGTTGTTATAGCATGGTTGTGACCAGTCTGGACACCTTCAGGAGAAATCAGTCCATCTTCAATTTCAGGATGCACTGCTAGGAGCTCCATTTCCAGAAGCAGCATATTTTCCCTCTGTTGAACTCAGTAACTTCTGCAACTCTGCATCAGAAAATGCAATCTTGTTCTTCCTTCATGTTACACAATGGGCTTCCCATTCTCTCAGGCTAACATCTGTGGTTATCTGGATCTTCTTGGGCTCCAGATGACATACACCCTGCTCACTGCTGGTGAGGTGAACCACTTAAGGGAGCTGATACCTTTCTTATGTAAGTGATGGATTGCTGATTTCTTGAAACTATGGTGAAATTGTGTTGGAAGAATAAGGCATTAGAGAGGTTTAGCATGGAAGTGTGCCATGGGGAGACACTCTACACTAAAAATCATAAACCCTGTAGGTACAGTAGAGGGACTAGTCTTGATGCTGCTCATCTTTATATGGTGAGCATGACAATCTTATGATTTTGATCTAATGGAAAATAAATTGTTTCTAATGTGGTGTTGATCACAGCTCCCAGGTGTTTGATCTGCTGTTCCATATCATGGGAACACTTCTTAATGTTCACAAGGAAACCATGCTGACTCAGGGATGAGGCCTCTCTGGATATGCATCAGGCACTCTGAACACCAAAGGCTAACGGTTCCTCTTCTTTTTTATACATGTCTCAGCAGGTGTAATAAAAAAAGGATTTCTGAATGGGGTTTCATTACCTTCATAGTAGCTGTCCATTAGGATATGATCTCCATTTTCCACTTAATGGAGAAATATCTAGAAAATGTCTGAATTGGCTTGTACTGTTTGTTATATTTGTTACATCCTTTATCACCTGAAAAGCTTACAAAAGCATCAGGATTCACCTAAGTTCCCCCATTATATGTCCAACATTGCTAAAGTGTAAGCCTAGAGTAATGTCCTGGCCTTTAGCAAAAAATATTATAGCTGCACTCAAGTTATCAAATAATAATTCTGCCCTCCTGCTTGGAGATGACTTGGAAATGCAATGAAAAAAGAAAGAGAGATGACAAACTATCCCTTTGGACCATGACTTCATGCAAGGTTCTCGCAAATAACAAGACTGCCCGAGGCATTTGTGATGTACAATGTGGCCAAAATGTTCAGTGTATCACCAGTATAAATTATATATTTCCATGCTGAGTAGACAAGCCCAAACTGCAATCTTAAAACACTAGATCTTATAAAAAGAGAGAAAGAGAATGCTCTAAATTTCTTCCTGTTTTCTAGCTAGAAAATATGGAGATGGTAGATCCAGTCTCCCAGAAATATAGAAGTACTGCTATTCTTCCTTCAACACCATCTTTTGTGACACAGTTCAGGAAAAACTATTACAATAGAAACAGCAATTTCACTTTTAACTTCTTTGTGGGCTCAGGCAAGATAGGTGAGAGATATAATGAATATTTGCAAATTTTGTCAACTTCAACAAGAAAGGTTGTCATGGCATGTCAAAATAAAATTGTCAACTGCCATGACAGGTGATCCTTAAGCAAGAGCAAAAAGACCAGAGTTTTTCTCCTGCTTTTGTCAGCAGTAGCAATTGCAAAAATACTCCTTTTTTTCAAAGGAATATATCTGGTGTGTGCATATTCGTCTATTGTTGTTACTGTTGTGTGCCTTCAAGCCATTTCTGCAAACTTGTCATGGCAAGATTTGTTCAAAGCTA